TTACACGAAATAGGGTGAATACATCTCATTACAATGATTTCCTGGTAGTTTCGAAACCCTACTTTCATACCTTTTTTCTTGTTTCAAACAAAATTCGTCATTAGCAATCATCACAGCCTCATCATGACGATTTGGCCTCAGTTTTTAATGACAGATTACATTAAAGAAGCAAGATCCAACGGAAACTAACTTTAGCTCCACTTCAAGTGGCCAATTTTCAACTTGAAAATCGACGCTTGAGGGGAATTAAGGACGGATAGGTGAGTATTATCCACAAAAAGATGAGTAGGCCTCAAGATACAATTTCCTTTCGCTTAGATCTTCCTTACAAAAGTCTCTCTCATTGAGAGTGGAGGTCAAGGTCTACATCAGCACGCCCAAAGGGATTCGAACCTGGGTCACGGGTGTCGTGATGACGTAACCACAACCCTATACGCCCACGAGTGCAAATGATTCACAGAGAAGATACAACATTCAAGAAAGACCAGGCCTCAGCCAATTCCCACTTATGGGGTGGGATTGCCGAATTGAATTGTTGAATTAAGTATTGTTTTTCGTGACTACCAGTAAATCAGTTATAAGATGTATTCACCCAATTTCGTTTAAGGGTATTGTTTTTCGTGACTACCAGTAAATCAGTTATAAGATGTATTCACCCAATTTCGTTTAAGGTGATGAATGACTGGTAGTTGATTTTTCCCACATACTTTTGGGAAAGCAAAGCTATGTAAAAATTCAATGGAAACGTCAGCTCAACTCATATGATTTGTGGGAAAATTCTACTTCTACCAGTCCTTCATCATCTTAAACGAAATTGGGTGAATACATCTTATTACTTATTGTTGGTATGAGTAGTTTGCGAGAATATCAATAATGCTTGAATATAGACATATGTGATTTAAGTACTTGTCCGATTGTGGTAAATACTCAACCGTACTCAACTTGAATCACCTGTTTTATTCAACAATGTCTAATTATCTCCTAAACCACCTATTTCCAGCTAGCCTGATGATACTGTATCGTCTCCAAGGTGAATTGGGTAGCAACGCACCTTGTGTATTCTTCGTCAGCACCGTGATGGCAATCGTGAAACTGGGCAGCATACTCCTCACGTCCCAGACACGCTCCGCTTGTCTGTCGGACCGACGTAGACGACGCAGTTGACGTCGTCGTCGACGCCAATTGGCTCTGCTTGCCTGCTCCACTCCTGCGGCTGCGGCGGCCTGTTTGTATGAGGCGACGACAATGCGAAGGATGATACGTGAATGTGGCACTATGAATTCGTGTTCTACCTCTACGCCGACGCCAGTCGAGGCTGGCGCTGTCAAGCCGATGATGGCGGCTCTGTTGGGAGCCTCTGCCACTGCGGGGGGCAGATCGAGTACCATTACCGACGCAGCAGACGCAGCGTTGCTTCGCGAGACAGCGCCTCCGAGGTCGGTACTCGTGGCAACACCGCCTGCCTGTCCGCCGGGCAATGTTGCTCCAGTTGCCGCGAGAGGCGAACTGCTGGCGGCAGAAGAAGACGGCAGGGAGGAGGCGTTGTCACGCACGATACAGAAACGACGTGTACGTGGACAGGGTGGCATGTACCAGGCAACGGTGTTGAGGGAGTAGAACTCAAAGAATGTCTCCGTGCCGTCGATCCAGGAGACGGGATCAGCCTCTTGCATCGAAGCTTCATGGGCTGGTGCAACGATCATCAGAGCAGACAGGATAAGCAAATTTAGGTTATTATTTCATTGCATCGATGTGCTCTTCTTCCGAGTTAATCCATTCCTAAAGGTCTCGACTCTTCTTAAACCGGATTAAGCGATTTCTCCCTCTCTCATTTATTAAAAGAAAGCACTTGCCATTAAAATGCGGGCAAAAAAAATAAATAATGTAAAGCTTAAGAGAATAGCATAATCATATTGAATAGGTCACGAAACCATGTGCAGATCTTAAATATGAGTCGTTGGATCTTCTCAAAATGCTATGATTAGGCCTGCCTTGCCTGCTTACAGATATTCTATTCCAGAATAGAATACAGCTTCGACCCCATCGTGGTCTCATCAGCACTCCCAACGAGAATTGAAACTGGTAATTACAGCGTACATTTTCGACATGTAATCATTACTTTTTTCGTATATAAGTAGAGTTTCTAGACTACCAGTAAATCAGTTAACCATATGAGATGTTGCTTTAAAGGCGAGCAAAACTATTAAATTCGACTAAGCTACTTATATCATAGTAAGTAGATCTCATATAAAAGTTTCGAGTTTAAATCAACCTAACTCGCATCATTTAGACCCATGAGAGGTCGAAACTTCCGTCCAATCCAGCCTGGATGAGAGTACCTTTTGAGAGATAAGGCATCATAAGATATACACGAGGAATTGGGAAAGTAAGGCTATGTGAAATTCAATGAAAACGTCAGCTCTATTTATAGCATTGTGGAAAAACTCAACTACTAGTCCTTCATCACCTTAAACGAAATAGGGTGAATATATCTCATATAAGCGATTTAATGGTAGTCTCGAAACTATGCTTATATATGGAAAATTCAATTGTGAGTATTTCAACGCCTCATGCCTACTTATGATAAATGTAATCTTTTATTCATGTCGTTCTAATAGTGTCGAGTGTTAGCCAGAAGTTAAAGAATTTTTTGTGGATAACCAGCAAGATGCATGTGAATAATAATATAATTGTGCGAAGAAAAGTGGACAGAGAAATTTGGTATGTGAGTGATATTATTATCATGACACTAAATCGCGAGCAGAGTGAGTTTTATTTTGGCCAAATTGGTCAGAAATATCTCTACAAATTGAATTTTCCCCATAACTAGTCCATATTGAGTTTAGGGTAACTGGATCTTCTTTCAAAGAATGGCAGGAAATAGGAGCATTAGCATTTTCATACTTACAAATGACATTGATGTTGGCATTTCAGGTTGAGATTTATGCTAGCTCATGCACAAGAAAGAGCATAAGAGGGGGCTCTTTTCTCTCTTATCCCAAGATCCTGTTGACCGACTGCATTCGGACGCTAAACTCGATCCTCTCGACAGTTTGCTACAGTCTTTGCTGCTGGGCCCAGTCTGTAGAGTCTCCACTTGGGCATGAAGAAAATGGATTATTTATGCCTTTTTCGCCGAAGAGGCTGCATCTGGCGACGGTAGCGATGACGAGAAGTGGGCAAGTTGCAAATGAATCACTGCCAGTCCACTGTACCGCCTTCTGCCCTCCGGTTGAAACGATTTAATGCAAACCAGTGATTAAGGCAGGAATAGATACTCGAGGATATCAGGCGAATGATACAATAA